AAAAAAAAAAAAAGTAAATCGAAGCGCGCCAATACCAAAAATGCGTTCTGTTCCCCCAAAGCGTGGTTTATACCCGACACAAACCTCCTGCACTTTCCTAACTGTGATTCCGTCGGCAAGTGCTCAATGGAGCAGCTTATAGAGATGCCTGGTTTTAAGAGCTCACTAGTTCATGGGTTAAGCAGTGCTCGTAAGCGTGTGGCTGCCTCAGTGAAGACGGTGGATCATGTGAATGTAGATCACCGCCAATCCCTGATCTACAGAGCAATATCTTGTGCAAAAAAGATGGCTGGCGTCGATGCTGATAAGGACAAAATGCTCCCGGCGTTTCTCAGGCGTTTTGACCTGGTGTGAAGAGTTTGTTGTCAGCTTGACAACAAGGGTCGATTTGTTTTTGCGCTTTCCTCGCTGGGTGCTCGATAGTGGCTGGTCAAGGCAATTGGGTACCCGTTATTGAATGTGATGGCAATTACACGAAGATCCCCCATACAATGGTGTTTGTGTACTTCTCGTTGACAAGGATGGAAACTGGACATATATCCCAGTCGCCATAACTTTCATACACAAAGAGACAGCAGAAATCTTCGAATGGTTTTTTTTTTTGCCAATTGCCTGGTTGCTGGTATTAAGATGGACGATAGTGAACTCTTCACACACAGAAGAAAACAACGTGAAGCGCAGATGCGTTTTAAGAAGCGCGGGATATCAATTCACCCTAAGTTTGCGCTCTGCATATTTTCTTCAACGTTTGTGATCATTTTGCGCTGCTGACCCAATTATCAACAACATTAGGGCGTTGCTATTTCGTCTACAAGCTACCATAACCTTGACGGAGTATGAATCGGTTCTAAGAGAGATTAGAGTGGCGTTTCCTGTGTCTCGTAGGATGAAGGTAAATGGCAAAATGGAGATCCAGACGGTGAAGAAATATTTTCCCAAGATTCATCCAACCAGCTGGACCAAGTTTGGAAACGGTTCCCTGACGCCAGAGGAAGCCGCTTCGCTTGGTACTGGCTGAATGCTGCAATGGCTTATGATGATGGACGCGCGCTCTTCGCTGGTAGAACGACAAGTGCTATTGAATACCAGAATCGTGTTCTCATACTAGTTGGTATACGCGACAGTCAAGTGTTCGATGCTCTCATGCTCTTCTGCAATATGATTGTGAAGACGCTAGTGGATAAGAAAACCAAAGCAGAAAAATGGCTGAAAGATAAACACACTGTCACTCCACAAGCGAAGGAAATGTTCAACAGACAAGTTTGGAGTGCTACCGTGTGCAGAGTGCGTAAGAGTACAGACTCTGTGTTCTTCGTCGACGACTATGATGGAGTCACAATTGAAGAAGAAGATACTGACAGTACATGCAGAAATACGCCTCTACTGGCACAAGGTGAATCCAAAATGCCAGATCACCTTCATCGTTGACTTGACTTCGGGCTCGTGTGCCCCATGCGCCGATAGGGAGACCCTTCAACTTCATTGTCGCCATATCATAGCTGTGGTATATCACCCGAGCGGGTCTCACACACCTAATGCGGGAGCGCAAAAGTTTTTCCATAGAGCATTCACTGCTGGGGTATACGCTCAGGCATTTCTGTGACCGTAAGCTTATCGTTTGTGCCGATACTTCTTCATGACTCCAACATCCTGCCATCTTCATTCTATAACCAAGCTGGAGGTGCACACAGCCGAGGTCAACGAGATGTTCTCCGGAGAGTGAAGTTAATAGCATCCCGTGGAGAGTCGAAACCATCCTCTTCGTCCAGTGGAAGACCGCAAAAAAAAAAAAAAACTGCATCTCAATCTGATCAAAATAATCGCGCTGTTTTACAACCAGTATGCGTGAATTCTTCAACAGTGAAATCAGAGACGAAGAAAGAAAGAAGCGCGCAAAATTCACATGTAGCCCATGTGACAAAGCGGAAAGCCACAACGCAGCGAAGTGTCCAAATCGATAAACGGGACACCTAGAATCCGATGTGCTACCAGAAAATTTACGTCGTCGGTAATTACCCTCTCGAATTGCTGGAAAGAAGAAACTCGTTTAGTGGCTGCTGAACATGAATATCCGACTATCATTTGCGAATATAGCTTTTGATTAATCGGCTGAGAGTCCATGAGCTACGGGTTGTCCCTAAAAGAGCGTGTGCATTTCCAAGTATAATTAGGTAAAGCTAATCCCATAAGCCCAAAAATTCGATACCTTTTATTAAGCTGAGTACACCGTGGCTGCGTCATATCCCTTTGCATCCGTCTATCCGGGTTTGGAGGCACTGGGCCGTATTACCACCCACCCACCCCCTACGTGCGAATCAAACAAAGGTGTTCAGGGATATAATGCAGTCCCCAGATGCTTGGATTAAAACTTAGCTTCCATAAGCTATACAACTAAAACGACGAGT